TCTGCCCGGCCGCTCCTGCCAGCACATTCTAAGGGCAAAAAAGCGCCCGGGCCGCGGCTTCGGCGCGCTCCAGGCGAGTCATCACTGCGCGCCGCAGCCAGAGCGCCCGGAAGGCGGAGATCATCGGGCGCAGCCATTGCTGGCGGCGGCTGAGTTTGGCCGGGAGGCTCTGCGCAGAGATCGGGCTCCGGCCTCCAGGCCGCCTCCGTGACCATGCCGGCAGGGAAGTCTTTCCGACGGAGGAAGGCGGATTCCGAGGAAGAGGAGGAGGAGGAGGAAGAGCAGGTCACCGAGGAGGTCCGGTGCGTTGCCTCGCCCCGCTTGAAGGCCAAGGGCCCCGGGATCGGGGTGGGTCCCAGACAGGGGCGGACGAAGGCTCACCGGTGCCCTCAGCACTGACCGATCTTGGTGCCCCCCCTCCTTTCCACACTGACCCCCAGTCCATTTTAGTCGTTGACCTGTCTGACCAGATAGACAATGCAGGTTTGCAGCAATACAAAAATGCATCCATAGGATAACACAATAATACTGTGTACAAACGAAGCCTTTTCACCCTTTCCCCAACTTCGTGGTGCCCTAAGCACGTGCTTAGTCTGCTTAATGGTGAATCTGCCCCTGGATCCAGAGGCTGGAGCCGGGCTTCCTCGCCTAAGGGCTGGACGGGGCCTCAGACGCTCGTCCCGTCTTGAAGTTGTGGAGTCTTGTTGTGAGCAAAAATTCCACTTTGTGGGCTGCTGGCATTAAGGTTGTGAGCGAGCAATTTGGCCACTGCATCCATTAGTTTGCTTGGACCCACATCCTTCCTGAGCTAAGACAAAAATGGGTGAGCCGGAGGCTAAAAAACTGTGAGCCAGCTCACACTCACTCCACTTAGAGGGAACACTGGCCTTAACTCAGTCACTCTTGCGTCTGGCCGACTTTTCAGGGTTGTTGTGAAGGTAAACATTGAGAGCGGTTGCCCTGAGCACCTTGGAGAAAGAGGGAAACAGACGAACGTTGGTCAACAAAGTTTAATTCTGGGTGTAAGCTTTTGTGTGGTATCTGAAGAAGTGTGCGTTTACACAAAAGCTTATGCCCAGAACTAAACTTCGGCCCCGGTCACACAGGCCAGATAAAGCGGGGGGTGGCGTGGCTGTTCGCCCCAGAGCAAAATAAAGCGCAGTAGCCCGATCACACGGTCCCCTGAGTCTCCGTGCTTTGGCTGTTAGCTGGCGATCACACGGCGATGCTTCAGCATGGCAAAGAAGTGGCGTGATCACACAAGCATTTCGCGTTTGTGTGCATGCGCAATTCCGCGGAGCAGCACTGCTTTCAGTTTCGTGTTTGTGCGCATGCGCTTACAAAAAACATCCAGTGTGCGACAGGATGTGGATGGGCGCTGGATGCCACAGGATATTAGCGCTCCCGCGATCAGACGCCCGCCTGTGCCGTGCGTTTTCCGGATACTAGTGCACTTTCCTTGGTACTTTTTAACTCAGCATCTTCGGCGGGACGCCACGGGTTGGCCACGGGTGCACTACGCTTCCCAGATGTTGTGGTGCGATCGCGCCCCGAAAATCCGCCCGACATTCGTGCCTTTCGTGCAGCAAATTCTCTGTGTTGGTCTTAAAGGGGCTCCTGGACTCAAACTTTGTTGTATTGTGCTGTAAGGTGTTTTTTTTGTATGTGTGGAATAAAAGCTTATGCTGGGATACATTTGATTAGGTTTGTACCCCATCTTCCCATTAAAAACCAACACTCGAAGTGATTTACGATAAATGTTGTTGGTCTTTAAGGTTCCATTAGGATCCTGTGTGTTTTGGTTATAGTGGACTAATATGGGATTATTGTCTTAGAGGAACAGGGCAGGGCTTCATTCTTACATTGCCCAAATAGTGTGGGATGGAGCTGGGAGGAACTGGGTAATCATGGCACCAGGCTTGTCATGCCAAAGAATGAATCTGATTTTGTAAACAGACTTCAGATCCAGGGCCACTGTCATGCCGGTGGGGCTTAGGACATTTTGTTGATTTATTTCTATTTCTTTTACGTTCTGCCAATGGGGACCCAACGCAGCTTACATCATTCTCCTCTCCTCCATTTTATCCTCATAACAACTCTGTGAGGAAGGTTCTGTGCCCATTCTGAAGGCTCTTGCGTGCGCGCATCAAGGCAAATTGGAGACTGGCTTCCAATACCAGGAAGTGTTCAATCATGTAGTACTTGTAGTGGGGGTGGGGTGGAGTGTGAGACTGTGGCAAACAAGCCCTGTTTTAGATCAAGATGGGGGGCCACGTTCGTCTGTCTGTAGCAGTAGAAAAGAGCAACGATCCAGCAGCACCTTAAGGACTGACAAAATATGTGGCAGGGCAGGAGCTTTTGTGAGTCACGGCTCACTTCTTCAGATAAGCCCTGTTTTTTGGATCTCACACACTCTGGCGTCTGAATTGCCCAAGGTCCCCTAGTGAGTTTGTAACCAAAACAGGATTTGAACCAGTAACCTTCCTGGGTTTGTGCTCAGCGGCTGCTTTCAGTTGTATGTGATCTGTGTACATGGGAGGAGGGGTCTGTGGATCAGATGGAGAGCCTCTGCTTTGCATGCAGAAGGACCCCGGGTTCAGTCTCTGGCTTCTCTAGTTAAAGGGACCAGGCAACAGGTGATGGGAAAGACCTCAGCCCATGACCCTAGAGAGCCACTGTCAGTCTTTGTAGACAGTCATGACCTCAATGAACCGATGGTCTGATTCAATATAAAGCAGGTTCATGTGTGGTACCATTCTTAGCTGTCATGTGTCAATGTTGCAGGAAGATTGTGAACAGCAGAGTTGCCTTGCTTGGGTCCTACCCAAATTCTGTCTAGTTCAGCATCCCATTTCCAGCAGCGTTCAGCCACATCTATAAAGGAGGCACAAAAGCACCATTCCTTCATCCATGCTTAGTCTCTGACAACCGGTGTTCAAAGTCCACGCTAACAGCCTGTGTCTTTCTGCTGTCTTGTGCCTAGAATTGTGGGTTGCACAGAGACATTATCGCCAGCAGTATTGGACTGGTTGTAACCATAATGGTGTTTTTCAGATTGAAACTTGAGGAAGCAAAAGAAGTGCAGAGTCTACGGAGAAGGCCAAATGGAGTGAGGTAAGGGGCGTGGTGGAATCCCTTCCAATTGTGCTATGTAAGGTTGAACATTTTGCAGCATGTTTGTACCAATCATTGTCATGGAATTTGGGCTGTCAAGAAACTTAGCATTTGGGAAGGAATTTTTTAAAATCTATTTTCTAGTACTCATGAGGGTTTTTTTTTAAAAAAGTTTCTACTACTTGTGTTTGCAGCAGACAGCTTGAACTTTCTACTGAAGGTTCAGAAGCCCAAAGGGCACCTTGAATGAGCTCTCTACAAACAAGGTTTCTCTGGTCTCCACAGAACCCTAGTGACAGTAGCTAATGGTTCCCATTACTTTGCCCATTGGTTGCATTGCCTGTTTTCTTTGTTTTCAAAAAAATTAAAAAATAACAAAGAGATAATAAAGTGAAAATACAGAAAAAGGAAAATGCTTACATATTGTAATTATATATATCAAAATATAAGAAACTAGGAGTAAGGCTTGTTGTGGGAAGAAATACAACGAGCTCTAGAAAGAGGCTCCAGGTGAGTGTCCCAGCTGTGACTTAGTGCAAGCTGCCTTTTTTGCCCTGGGAAGTGCTTGTGATGGTAAACCATTGAGGTTGTATCTTGAGGTTGCATGTGTATGTAGGGCAAATGATATCACTTAGCAGCCAGACGCAATGGTTCCCTGGAGACTTCCAGGGCCCACTGGGAGACCGGGACCTCAGCAGAGTAAAGGTAAAGGTTCCCTTGCTCGAAAGCCAGTCGAGTCCGACTCTAGGGTTGCGGTGCTCATCTCTGTTTCAAAGCCGAAGAGCCAGCGCTGTCCGAAGACGTTTCTGTGGTCATGTGGCCGGCATGACTAAACACCAAGGCGGACGGAACGCTGTTACCTTCCCACTATTTATCTACTTGCAATTTCTTGCTTTCGAACTGCTAGGTTGTCAGGAGCTGGAACTAGAGACAGGAGCTCACTCCGTCATGCGGCACCCGGGTCTCGGACAGCTGAACTACCGACCTTCCACAGCCTGCAGTTCAGCGCCTTAACCACTTGAGCCACTGCAGGCTGTGGAAGGTCAGGGTAGAATGCCATAAAGTCCACTGCCCAGAGCAGCCATTTTCTCCAGGAGAACTGATCTTGGTCATCTGGAGATCAGTTGTAATAGCTAGAGATCTCCAGGTGCTGCCTGGACGTTATCAATACTTAGGGGAAGGCCAGGTTTGTTGAGGGACTTCAGTGAGGCCTCCTGCCATAGAGCTCAACCTCCAAAGCAACCATTTTCTCCATGGGGACTGATCTCTGTAGTCTGGAGATCAATTGTAATTCATGGAGATGTCCCTTTCCCCCCAACCCCCATTTAACAGTTTAACTGATGAACACTTCAAGTGACTCCCTGCTAATGCCCCATGGCCTCTTGGGACTTCCAGCTTAGCAGTTGTAGTTCTAATTCCTTTTGCTATGGTTGCAGTAAGGCCAGCTGAGAACTACAACTCCCAAGGTGCAATGCATCAAAGGTGGGGGTGTAAGAAAGGAGGCGCTGGCAGGACGGGCCAGTAGGATGCCAAGGCAGCGGCCACTTGGAGAGTTAGGAGAGTTGTCGCTAGCACGGCTTGCTTTTTCTGTATTGTAGCTAGGAAATATTTCTCTCCCCAACATCTCCTTCATTACATTGAAAGGTTGTTTGGACACTGTTTTTAAAATACAATAAAGCTTGCTTCTGTTGTGATACATTTATATCCAACATTTTACATTTCAGATTGCGTAACTAATCTTGTTTTTCAACTGAAATATTAATTTCACCAGTGCTGCACACTCAGTACTGCATATTTTCACAATTTCTGCATACTCGCTATTACTGTTGGCAAAAAATGCTCTGGCACTGATGTCTGAGCCTACAAAGAGCAGCCAGGAAATCAGATGTGCAGTTTGATTCTGACTTGTGGCTTGGCAACTGGTGGAGCAGCGTGCTGTCCAATCTGAGAAGCTATGGGTTTTGCTGCTGTTTTGCCCTTGGATGTCATGTGCCTACAGCAGCGGGGCTCTCGAGGAGCTGGAAAATGGAACTGCTCCATGGCACTCCTTCCTCTTCCTTTTCCTGAGAGCTAGTTTGGTGTAGTGGTTAAGTGCGCGGCCTCTAATCTGGGAGAACTGGGTTTGATTCCCCACTCCTCCACTTGCAGCTGCTGGATGACCTTGGGCAAGCCATAGTTCTGACAAGAGCTGTTCTTGAAAAAGAGCAGTTTCTGTCAGAACTCTCTCAGCCCTACCCACCTCACAGGGTGTCTGTTGTGCGGAGGGGAAAAAGTTTGTAAGCCGCTCTGAGACTCCTTTGGGTAGTGAAGGGCGGGGGATAAATCCAATCTCCTCTCCCCCCCCTCTTCTTCTTCGTGTCTCCCCATCATGCTGCACAGGTGAAGCATCAATATCTCATGGGAGTGCTGTTGCTGTCCTAAACTGACAGCATGCGCTGCCAATTATAGCCATCCCCACTGCATCAAATAGTCTTTTCATTTCTCTTTGCAGCCAAGCTAGCAGATTGGTGGAAACGGATGGATTTGAGACTTCAGCATCTGCATGGTGTTTTGCTCTTGAGTCACAGTACAGCAGATTTTTAATTAATTTAATTATTTTTGATGGCACTGTCTTATTGATGTTAATGATAATAAAAATGGATTGACACCTATTGGTGCAGACAGGCTCAAAAGGCCTGGGGGGGGGGGGGGTTTCTTACTTGTCTTGACTCTTTCTTTTGTGTGTCTCTTTTTGGCCAGTGCCGCAGCCCTGCTTGTGGGGGAGAAGCTGCAAGAAGAAACAACCTTGACGGTAAGACTGAGCAGAGGGGGCGGGAGGCGACAATTTCTCTAATCAGAGCTGCAAAACTGTTTCAGTTTCTTAGGCTTTATTAGTCAGATTTTTAGAGAAACGGGTGATGCAAATCTGTCCGATACATAAATTGCCCACACTATGTTTAACTTGTTTTTTCCCCATATACCTTTATTGGCATATCGGCAATCACAACTAAATAATAATCCAGTCAGTAAAATGCAGAATACAAAATCCATCAGATATCAAAGTTCATATAAGAATTTCATAACGGGGGTGGGTGGGGAGGAGAACCAGAAACAACACGATATAGAATTTTCTTTTAAGGACTCGTTCACCAGTTAATTGTACGACAGCCCTGCTTGCAGCCTGGGGGCAGAGATGGGCTGAAGACACCTTCATGAGGCGTTGGCTACCCCTGCTAAGATCTGCTGGCCTGTTGTGATGCTTTTCTTGCTTCTCAACACATCGGTTGGCTTCCTGTGGCCAAAAGAAATGCCAGAAGCTTGAAGGTGCTGTCATGTTGCAGTCAAGTTATGGTGACCTGTCATGGGGTTTTCAAGGCAGTAGACAAACAGAGGTGGTTAGCCATTGCTTGCCTCTGAGTCGCGACCCTGGGACTCCCTTGGTGCTCTCCCATCTGAGTACTAACCAGGGCTGACCCTGCTGAGCGTTCGAGATATGATGAGGGCAGGCTAGCCGGGGCCATCCCGATCAGTTTGCCAGCACCGTAGGCTGCAGTAAATATAATCAGATCTCTCTCTCTCTCTCTCTCTAAAAACCTTTCTCTTCACCAGGATGACCCCTTTAAGATAAAGACTGGTGGGATGGTGGACATGAAGAAGCTGAAGGAACGGGGCAAGGACAGGTGAGTGTCTCTGGGCTCTCCCAAGGTCTTTAATAAAAGGTGTTTGCTGTGGAACACGGGGTAAGGATGTGGGAGACATTCGCCGGTATCTAATCTGCTGTCGTAAAGGACTCACTAGGGTAGGAAGCAGATCTAAGCAGATCTACTGTGAAGTAAATGTCAGAGTTTTTTTCCAATGGGGCTTGCTCCCATGAAAATGTCCTTAGGATTGCACTGGTAGACAACTTGGGTCTGGACCGCTTCCCTTCCCTCCATGGGCAAGAGCTTGCGCCATGGAAGGCAATCTTCATCATGTGCAGGAAGGGATGAAGCAGAACAGGGTGCTTCGAAGGCTGGGGCACTACCAGGGAGAGATGTTTGGGGGTCCCTGTACCTGAAAAAGTTGCTTAAAGAGGAGAATTCAGCCAGATTCAGCTTCTCTGGTTACTGTAGCCATGCAATGGGGGAAAGCTGTAACTGGAGAAATTCTCCTATCTGTATACGTTTAAAAGGGACACTTGTTGATTGAACTCCCTTTCTTAACACTCACCCCATGTTAACCTCTCCCCGTTTAAGTATCCCCCCCACCCCCCCACCTTCCACGTGGCGAAGGCAGTTTACAAAGGCCAATGACAATAACATGAAGAGTTGAAACAACTACTGATGAAGGTTAAGGAAGAAAGTGCCAAAGCAGAATTACAGCTGAACATCAAGAAGACAAAAGTCATGACTGCTGGGGGATTACACCACCTTAAGGTTGATTATGGAGAAACTGACATTCCTCCAGATCTTCTGTTCCTTGGCTCCATCATTAACCAGAAGGGAGAGTGCAACCAAGAAATCAGAAGGAGATGGAGAGGCCAGACTCCGGGTCAAGTTACTCTCAACAACACTCTCTTTGGCAGTGATATGTTTATTGAGATTTAAACACGATCCAGATCATTACTATGCTGTGTCAGAACTGGTGATTTTGGCGGGTGTAATCACAGATATAGGTAATTCAAATGAAACCCCTCAATGGTCATTCATACGTCACATCAATCCCGCCTAGCCAGAGTGCTCCTACCCCCCTTTCACCTGGGAAATATACGATCCCATTATCTACACAAGCAAGCTGGCACCAAAAGTTTCAAGGACATTCCTCTGGCAGAGGAGAGGCTTCTTTTACCGCCTCTAAGCGCAGTCACACACTTCACACTCACATACCCCCCCCACATCCATGGCAAACTGAGTAGAGGGATGTTTGACAGGAGACTGGGAAGGGCAGCCATGAAGGAGCTACACAAGATTCTTAAATGTAAGGATGTGTTGTTGGTGACCACGACCAAGATGATTCTTACTATAGTATTCCACATTACCATGTATGGGTGTGAACACTGAACAATGAAGAAAGCTGATAGGAAGAAAATTGACACCTTTGACCCTTCCACCTGTGGTTATTCAAGACAGGTACAATAAAAACCCCTACTCTGAAAGGTGATGCCCATGCCTTTTAAGCGAGGCTGAATCGGTAGCGCATATGTTCTTCAGCTGTCCATTTTACAGGGAGGCTCGTCTTAAAATTATTACCCCATTAGTCGATAGGACACCCGGGCACATTAACACAAACAAAGCAAGGCTTCACTGGCTCCTATCAAGAATGCAGAGATTACTCATTCAGTCACTGAGTTTTGTGCATTAATTCTTAGATTGCGGGAATCGCATTTTAAAAGTTTTTACATTCAGATTTCTATTTTTGTATATTATGACTGTTTTTTCTTCTTCTCTCCCTCACATATTATGCTTACTTTGTATGTTGGTCTTAAGACTGTAATAATAAAACAACTTGATACCTGTGACATGTGGTGTTGGGAGGAGAATTGACCACCAAAAAGACACACGAGTGGGTTCTGGATCAAATCAAGCCTGAACTTCCCCTAGAAGCTAAAATGACTAAATATCATACTTTGGTCACATTATGAGAAGACAAGACTTCCTGGAAAAGAAGTGAGCCGTGACTGACAAAAGCTCCTCCCCCGCCACAAATGTTGTTAGTCTTTAAGGTGCTCCTGGACTCTTGCTCTTTTCTACGACTACAGATAGACTAACATGGCTACCCATAATGCTAGGAAAAGTGGAAAATAGGAAGACCCGACAGGAGATGGATGGACTCAATCAAGGAAGCCACAGAGGCCCTCAGTCTGCAAGACCTGAGCGAGGCTGCTAATGACAGGACATCTTGGAGGTCATAGGGTTGGAAGCGCCTTGATGGCACTCAGCACACACACACACCATGACAATGAAAATAATATATTTATACTTCTGCCTCTCTCTCTCTCGTTTCCTATCCTTATCTCTCTTGTTTTCCTTCCTATGCTTGAAATTTAGAATGTAAAATTCCCGGGTGAGTGGATGGGTGGGAAGCAAGCGGTACTTTGCACAGGGCCACAAATGTTCGAGGGAGCAGTATAAATGGCTGCTGCATTTTGATCCCATCCCGCCTTCAAGGACCTCAGAATGGCACCGTCCCTCTGAGGTAGGGTAGCCTGAGAGGCTGGCCTGGGGTCAGCTAGGAAGCTTTGCTGCCAGATGGAGATTTGTGTCCAGATCCCAGTGCAGACATTCTACACCATGCCAGCTCCAGCTCACCACTCACATTTTGGCTGCACGTTTGTGAGCCAATTCGCTGAGCTTTTGGTAGTCAAATTGGTGTCAAAAGAATGGTATCAGGCATGCGCTTCTGTGTTGAAATCAGTAGGCTAGAAAGTGCTTGGCTTTGGGTTGTGCCTTAAAAATACTATATGCACTAATAATGATTGTGGCAATGTCTCCTTAATCAAAATAGCAAAAAAAAAATTGTTGTTACTACTGGGACATCTGTATTGATGAAGGAGCGTGTTCCACTTGAAAACTGCAGTAGATTTAAAAACAGGAACAATTCCAGTAAAACATTTAACAATAGCTTGGTGCAGTACCTGAATAACAAACATGGTTTATGATTGATTAACAAGCAGTAATTGGAAGCCGTGTTTCTGAAGAGGTTTGTAAGCCATGGCTTGTGCTAGTCGTAGTTTGGCATAATGTCTTAAATTGACAAGCCGCGGTTTGCAATTGGTTAGGAAAAGCAAAATCATAACCGTAGTCTGACTTTCATTTGCAAACCATGGTTCATGCTAATTATGGTTTGGCATTTATGATTGGCTGTCAGATCAGCATCTGGTACCTGAATTCACAAATCGGAGTGGCAGCTGTAGTTTTGCCCCCAGTGACTGCTGCACCATGGAGATGGGGGTGAACTCATAAAGCTGAACAGATAGAAAACCAACCGAAGTTTGCCTGCTACACATTTAGAAGCTCAAACCCAAGTTTGGCTGTAGCGAGCACAAGCCATGGTTTGGCCTGATGTCTACATGGAGCCATAATTTTAATCATTTTTCTCTTGATGCTGATTAAGATTGATGGGGGGTGTGTGTCTGTCTCTTGACAGAATCAGTGAAGAAGAGGACCTCAATCTTGGGACTTCCTTCTCTGCAGAGACCAACAGGAGAGATGAAGATGCTGACATGTAAGTTGTATTATGCGAACATAAGAAGAGCCCTGCTGGATCAGACCAAAGGCTCATCTGTTCGATTATCCTATTTCACACAGTGACTACCAGATGCTCTGGAAAGTACCCAAGCGGTGGCACAAAGGCCAGGGCATCCCCTCTTGTGGCCTCATAGGAACGGGCATTCAGCAGTATAGTGCCTCAGAACATGGACGTTCCATTCAACTATCATGCCTAAAAGGCCTATTATGGAACTCTCCTTCCACCACTACTTTTTTTTAAACAGCAAGTTTCTCAAATTCCAAGTGATTTATAGTTAGCAGGCCGGGATTGACAGTTTTGAAGATTCCCCTTTGCACAAAATGTACATTTTCAGAATATTTGTAATACATTTTCTGCTCTGCTTTTGGTAGCTTGCTTTATACAAGCTTTCAACCGAGCTTGGTGGCCGAGGCCTGTTGAAATCTGCACTGTATTTTCCTTAGCAGTTTGTATATTCTTAAGGCTGATTGGCATAGAAGGTTTTAAGGGAAGTTTTTTTTGTGAAAAAACTGAGGTCTTGTTTAGCCTGTGGGAGAAGGGAAAAATAATGGGATCTGTATGCAAATATTGTTAGTGCTATAATGGAAAGGGGGTATAGAATGGACCCTTTGAAAGGGTTAGAAGAAATAGCTGAGAAATAATAAAAATTCAAGGAAGAAACAAATGTAGAAAGGAAATGGCTCTTGCTTTAAGGTGGAGAATGTGGGTGTGTTTTGTAGGGATTATGTACATAATAAAATGCTTTATGCGGGCTTGAAAATGTAGAACAGGAAAACAAACTTGTCTTTACAAACATGTATCACATGCATATTAGGGAAGCATGATTAATTGTGATTTCCATTGAACGGATGTTCAGTTGCAAACTCAGGATTGCCGATACATTGAGACCTCACAAACTGTGGCTTGTTCATTACAAGAATGAGACATAGCAGTCTATGGCCTCTCATGCATCCTCCCCCCCACCGCTCTGTGTGTACTTTAGAGACTGAAAACTTTCTACTTCCCTAACAAACCATGGTTTGTCACAACCTCCCAGTCGAGAAACCATGGTTTGTTTGTCTTGCATACAAGACAGGACTAAACCAAGTTTGAGAATCCTGGTTTGTAGGCAAGCGAACAGGCACATTTCTTCCAGTCTGAACATTGCAACAAACCAGTTTGTTCCAAACCCAGAAGCATTCAGTCTCTGAGCCTTGCATGAGGAGAAGGAGGAAGAGAGCATGTGAACTTCATGGCTTCTCCCAGTGAACAAATGACTGTTTGTTTGTGTTGGGACGCCTGAGCAGGGCCAGTGCGCAGCAAGGACAGCCAAGAGCTAGCAGTCAGGAGCTCCATCAGCAAGTCACACCCAGCAGAGCCTATAGTTGGTGCTCAGAGCAGTGTTCCCCCTAAGCTGAGTTAGTGTGAGCTAGCTCACAGTTTTTTAGCCTCCGGCTCACACACTTTTGTCTTAGCTCGGGAAGGGATGGCTCCAGAGCAAACTGATTTATGCAGTAGCCAATTATTATAACAGGGAGGAAACAGTCTGAACAGTCAAGGCCCTGTCTGCTGATACATTGCTCGCTTCCTAGCTGCAAGGTACACAAATCTGGCCACAGTTTCAATCACCATTTGGTTCACAACTTTAATGCCAGTCGCTCACCAAGAAGAAGTTTTGCTCAGGAGACTACACAGCTTAGAGGGAGCATTGACCCAGAGACCTCCATATGTTCTCTTTCGCCCCTGACAACTATTGTCAGGATTAATTACCACTCCTGCCTGTACTTGACTGGTGTAAAGGGAAGTAGCTTGAAAGAGGGGATGAGGGACAGTTAAGGGAAACAGAAGGTTTGTATAGGGGTGCTTGGGGACATCATGGTTGACGGGCAACACACTGCCCTTAAATTACGTGTTCCTGACCTAAGATGTCCCTGTAGAACATCCAGGCAATGAGAAGCTTTGGCAGGCAAGTGGGGCTCGAACAGTCTGTGAATGGGATAGCTCAGGTGCTTAGAAGGTCTTCCAGCAAAGGCTTAGTTTAGGATTGCCAGCGCTGGGGTTTCATTCATTCATTCATTCATTCATTCATTCATTCATTCATTCATTTGATTTATACCCCGCCCTCCCTGCCGAGGCAGGCTCATGGCGGCTTACATAAAAGTACGTACATAAATACAATTAAAACCATTGATTAAAAACACCATAACTATTCAATATTAGCTGTCCTGAAGTGCTGAAGCAATATTCAAGTAAAACAGAAGAGCAGAAGTTTTAAGCTTAACAGTACTGCTTAGGAGGGCAGTCATGGTGACATTTTCACACTAGCTCAGTTAATCCGATCATGTATGTGGTGGCCAATATGTAACAATCAGTTATAATAACAAATCACCCTACTCCTTCTAATCACAGGCTGGACTATTTCAGCAACTGAATAATTAATTCACTAATTTAATTAATCAAACATCTAACTAAATAAATGGATTAATTCAGCTAATCATCTGTGATCAGATTAGCCCCAAATTAATTACAGTGCCCAATTAATCCCCAGTTAATTACACTGCCAATAATCATCAACAATATCTCTCAATTTAATTTGGGCTATTAAAATATTCCCTCTGGGATCCCTCCGGGTTGGGAAATGCCTGGAGATTGGGGGGGGCGGAGCCTGAGGAGGGCGGGGTTTGGGGTAGGGAGGGGCTTCAGTGGGGTAGAAGGCCATAGAGTCCACCATAGAGTGGCCATTTTCTCCAGGGGAACTGATCTCTTGTCGCCTGGAGATGTGTTGAAATCCCAGGAGATCTTCAGCCACCCCCTGGAGGTTGTAAACCAAAGAGAGAGATCTCGGGATGGAAGTTGAAAGGAAGCAAACAGCCGTGATGTATAGTGCCAAAAAAAGGTTCTTCTGCACCAACCTGTAAATTCTTTTTCAGTATTCAGTTTACTGGAAGCAATTCAAACGCCATCAGCACCAACGAACCATGCATCTCATTTTGTGTATATCTTTATCAAAGTGGGTAGCGTTGAAATACCTATATGATGTTAATCCATTTGGCATAATCCATTTCCACTCTTCCTACTGGAATTTACATCACACTAATGGATTTGATGAATGTGACTATGAGATATGACTAGAGAGTTTGCCAAATAGATTAACATTATAATGCTTTCCCACTTTGATAAAGATATACATGAAATGAGATGTAATATGCATGGTTCGTTGGTGTTGATGGCGTTTGAATTGCTTCCAGGAAACTGAATACTGAAAAAAGAATTTACAAGTGGGTGAAGAACCTTTTTTTGGCACTATGCATCACGGTTGTTTGCTTCCTTTCACCCACCTGGAGGTTGGCAACCCTAGCTAAACTAGCTGAGGCCCTTCCCACTGGACCTAAATGAGGTTGGTCATAGCCTGGAGTGGACTGTCGCCTGATGCAAGTGCTGCTTGGACTTCCCGTTCAGGATGAAGTACATTGAAACCGAGCTGAAGAAGAGGAAAGGGATTGTGGAGAATGAGGAACAGAAAGTGAAGCAGAAGAACGCAGAGGACTGTCTCTACGAACTACCGGAGAGCATCCGTGTCTCTTCGGCCAAGAAGACGGAAGAGATGTTGTCCAATCAGATGCTGAGTGGCATTCCCGAAGTGGACCTTGGAATTGAGTAAGTGGCTGAAGGCTCTTGTTTCTTCAGTACTCGTATGTTAAAAGGGAGGGAATGGCTGGCTGGCTAAGTCTCTTTAGGTGATGTGTAGGCTGTACTTTCCATAAGAAAGCTCAAGGCAGTTGGCAAAGGGGAGACACTGAACAACAAAAGTCCCGTGTTGATAAAACCATCTAAAAGGACCATGAGAACAATCAGAGAGGATTTAGAGCAGCAGCAAAAGGATGGTTCAGTGGAGTTGATCAAAACCAGCAGATACAACACTGTAGGATAGTTTGAGTCCAGTGGCATCTTTAAGACCAACAAAGTTTAATTCAAGGTATAAGCTTTCGTGTGCAAGCACGCTTCTTCTTCTATCTGAAGAAGTCTACCCGAAGAAGTGTGCAGGCACGTGGAAGCTCATACCCAGAATTAAGCTTTGTTGGTCTTAAAGGTGCCGCTGGACTCAAACTTTGTTCTGCTGCTTCAGACCAACCTGATACCTACCTGAACACTGTAGTAAAACAAAGTAGCAGATGAAAACAGCAAGGAAGATGCTGTACAGCAAATGGAAAACTAAGAGGAGACCAAAGAAACATTATTCTAAACAAAGTGCCCAAGTAAATGACAGACTTTTCCCCGGTGCCTGAAAAGCACCAAACCATAATGGAGGCACCACCACAGAAATGACCTTTCTTCAGCAGACGGAAGCCCCCAGAGCAGGTGACAAGATGGTGGCTTCCAGGTAGTGGGGCAGACTGGACTTAAGATAACCTGGTTCCCCCTCTCCATACTCAGGAGGACTCCTGTACCAAGGACATGGGCCATACCTTTGTTGGGTTTTTTGATAGCTGACAAGATGGTGTTATTCTCTTGACCCTTTGGAGGTCTTTGAGGGGGGATGTAGGAGAGGGGTCTGACCTCTGAGGGCAGAGCCAGTAAATCTCCTCGGCTCTGCATGACACGTTTTGATCTGTGCTTGGAAGACAGTCTGAAGGAGTAAAGATTGAGGGAAGGGGCACAAGGGGAGGAGTGCCACGTCACCCTCTACGAAGCATCTTTGATTGTTTTGTCTTTTTCCTTTGTCCATTTAGAGCAAAGATCAAAAACATCATCTCCACCGAGGAGGCCAAAGCACGCCTATTGGCTGAACAGCAGAATAAAAAGAAAGACAGCGAAACCTCCTTTGTTCCCACAAACATGGCTGTGAACTACGTCCAGCACAACAGATGTGAGTGTGTGGGGGGGTGCTTTACCAGCTGACCTAAAGGTTGGCCTGCTCACACAGTGATTTCAATGGATGTCAGCCCAGGGCCCTGTATTGGACCTGGCAACCCAGCCATAAAAATGGTTACTTTGGGCCCTGGCTGTACTTAGAGAGCCATTTGGTTAACAAATATCTGACCAGTTCTATTATATAATATTTGGAGATACTTTTGTTTAGCATTTCTTCCAAGCAGTTGAGGGGAGGCACATGCAGTCTGAGGGAGGGGAGGCTGAGAGACAGGGACTGGCCCGAGGTCTCTTGTGACGTTTCCTAGCTGAGTAGGAAGTTGAATCCAAGTCTCCCCAATACTAGCCTGACCGTTTTAACCACCGCACCGCACTACCTCAGTATTCCAAATTGTTTGGGTGTTTCCTTTCAGTTTATCACGAAGAGCTGAACGCACCTGTGAGAAGGAACAAAGAGGAACCTAAAGCCCGTCCGCTGAGAGTGGGGGACACGGAGAAGCCCGAACCAGAGCGTAAGTTCCTTCTGCAGCAATGCACATCTAGCTTTCTGGAATGCCTTTTATTGTTGTTTGTCTATTAGATGTAAGAAAAATCTCCAAGGAGATTAGACCAATGCCCCCCCACATTTTATCTGCACAACAATCCTATAGTGTAGGTTAAGCTAAAAACATTATAACTTCCTTTGTTTAAGGAGCTCAAAATGGCATATGTGACTGTTCCCTTCCTCCATTTTCTCCTCGTAAGATCCCTCTGAGGTTGGTTAGGCTGAATGTGACTGGCCCAAGGTCACCCCCAGTGAACTTCATGGGAACCTGGTTTCCCCTGGTTGTAGTCCAACCTTCTAATCACAGCACCACCCTGAAATTGTGGAAGAGGCACAAGAGGAAAAGGTTAAACACCTTCCCACCTAATGGCCATGTGTTTTGACAGTGTCACACCTACTAAAGCCACTTCACCCATGGCAGAGGTGAGACTTGAACCAGGGACTTCCTGATCTTTCATTCAGAAGCTCTTAAGTTCCCAAGGAAATTCAGGGTCCCTGTCAGGATCCACAGCAAAACAACGAAGTACACGCTTCCAGGAAGGTTTTACTTTTATTGAAAAGCCATAGATGCAGTAACATGAACACTGTTAAGAATGGCGGGTTACCTATGCACATAATAGGATATAGGGCATTCGTATGCACACCCCCCCCCCCACGTAGTACCCAATTAGATGGGTTCCCGCGCACGGGCATTTGGCTGAGAACTAACAGCTGCAGAAGCAGGGTAGGTGAGAAGCTTCCCACGAATTCTAGACACATCAACGCCTCCAGTGGCCTTGAGAGATATGCGTTACAGCGAAGAGGCAATTAAGTGCATGGGAAGGAATTCACAGCAATTAAAAACATATACCATACTCTTGGCAGCATTGCTGACAGTCCCCCAGAAGACAGTCTAAAAAATGAATCATGGGCATATAAAGATTTAAGGGGGGGGGTGCGTATAGGTGAAGTGGGTCTCAGTTTGGAAATGGAAGTTGGGGCCTGGATCTCAGAATGTTTTGTTTGTTTACATATCCTGTTCTGATCTTGCTATTCAGACAAGCATTGATTCCCAGCAGCTCCCAAAATCTGGTACAAAGTTGAATCCAAATCTAGATCATAGAGTCACAGAGTTGGAAGGGGCTGTACAGACCATCTAACCCCCCCGCTCAGTGCAGGATCAGCCTAGAGCATCCCTGGCAAGTGTTTGTCCAGCTGCTGCTTGAAGACGGACAGGAAGGGGGAGCTCACCACCTCCCGAGGCAGCTGATTCCACAGCTGAACTCCTCTTACTGTAAAAACATAGATATCTGTGTTTGAATTAATACTCCTTAACTTTTCTTAATTGTGTATTGGTAAGTGTGTGTGTATAGTGTAAAAATATACAATAACAAAGAAATCCAAGTTGGTTAAAAGTTTGGTGTTGTGGTTAAGTGCGCAGACTCTTAATATGGGAGAACCGGGTTTGATTCCCCACTCCTCCACTTGCACCTGGCTGGATGGCCTTGGGCAAGCTGTAGTTCTGGCAAGAGCTGTCCTTGAAAAAGAGCCGTTTCTGTCAGAGCTCTCTAAGCTCCACCTACCTCACAGGGTTGTTGTAGGGAGAGGAAGGGAAAGGAGTTTGTAAGCTGCTCTGAGACTCCCTTGGATAGTGAAGGGCGGGGTATAAATCCAATCTCTTCTTCTTCTTTAATACAAAATGAGGAGCGGGGGGGGGAATCTTTAGCTGAGCTGGATCCAGGTGTGAGTCAGAGGTTCCTGGATACTTCCTGTCGGTCTCTGACATTTGAATGCAGGTGGGTGGGCAGGAACTGAGTACCTGCCTGCCTCTTTCTGGCCTTGCTGGTAGTGATACCTGGGAGGTCAGGGTTCTCTGCTGGAGCAGGCCAGGATCCATGCGCAGGAGTGCCTCCCTGCCTCTTCTCTCTCTGGCTGTGCTGGGAGCAGTATCTGGGGGGACAGGGCTCTCAGCTGGAACTGGGTCCATGTACAGGGTGGTGGTGGCTTTTTCCTGCCCTCCCTTGGGATTGTCCCATCCATTTCCTTCTAAAAATACTGTGCTGGCTATCATGTTCAATTTCATCTTTGCCTTCTTTTAAAGGCAAAGGTCTGTGATCATCTATGATCAGTTCTCTGTTGGTTTTCTTTCAGGGTCCCCTCCAAATCGTAAACGTCCGCCAAATGAGAAAGCAACCGATGACTATCATTATGAGAAATTCAAGAAGATGAACAGGCGCTATTGAAAACTCTGTTTGGATGGCAGACCTGTCCTGCCTGAGTGTCTTTTCTTTCATTGGCCGGAGAAGCATCTGTAAATAGACTTCATAAGAGGACACATATCCACTTTTCCGGTGGCTGTTGATGTTGTCCAAAGTGTCTTCCACAGACTTACATGTACAGTGGTTACTGACGCGGTCCCTATTTGTGTATTGTGGCTTATTTTCATTGATAAAACTTTCTATTTAAAAAACAAACATGTGGATTCAGATTATTTTTCTTGTGCATAATGAACTAGGATAATCAGATACTTGCAAAATTGAGAGCGCTATTCTACCAGATATAGTAGAAGTTGATAGAGGAGCATAGAAGAAGTTTTACACGATAGAGGCTTGATCAAGAAAATGAATTAAAGGCCCTTCCAAAACTGGGAAGCGGAGTGGATTTCACACAGAACCAAAACGGAGAGAATAAATATTTCTATAGCAGGGCTATAGTTATACAGCGAAGATCCTTAGAACAGATTTTGAGTCCAGTGGCACCTTTTAAGACCAACAAAGGTTTATTTAAGGTATGATCTTCCGTGTGCACGCACACTTCTTCAGAAGATCCTTGTTACTTTGACAGCACCTGCCACCACATCACATTTTTAAAAATCCGCAAAACCGATCCAGTGGCCAATCAGAAGCTTTGATGGGCAAAAGCCCCACCTGGTTCTACTGACTGACTTTATAAAAAGACTTGGTTGGATGCCAGGAAAGGCCAGCAGGTGCTTTTGCACCCCCAGGCACCACGTTGGAGACCCCTGTTCTATTCCACTCCTGATGTTTAAAGGTCTTTACATGCATTACTTTGTTGCAGTCCTTACAATAGCCCTGCAGAGCAGTCCAGGATTATTACCCCCACATAGCGAGGGGGGGGCTGATTCTGATTAATGGCCATAGTTGGCACCTGGAACATGAGAGGAATCTACCACTACCCAATTTGCCCACATCGGCCTGCAGGTGGGGCATGCCAAAGATTCCCTGCAAATGAAAGGACCAACAGAGGGAACGATTCTAGTCCAGCCTGTTCTCTGATGTGTTAGTTTTCTATTGCCCTTTTTTTAAAAAAAAAATGTAGGAAACATTAACAAATTTGTACTTTGAATGGCTGTTGCTGCTGTCTTACTTCTAAACTTAGTCATTTCAGAAAAGTGGGGGGGGGGGGCAGGCACACCTCCCCAGAGAGGCTGCTACATAATCATGGGGCTGCCAGTGAAACAGCCTTCTCATGTGCCCTTCAGACTAGATCTGACTGACCCAGGTGTGGACACAGTTGCCTCACTGCAGCCACCTGGTTTCCTGTGGTGAGTGACTGCTGTGTCAAGCAGTGCTCCCAAGCTGCAGAGCTGGCTTTTCGAGGGGAGCATAACCCCATCCGAGGCAGGGGAGCTCTCGTCCCTGGTCTGCTTTTCTACCGACACAGAAAACGTCCGCCTTGTAATGGGGTTCAAGGCAAGAGATGTTCAGAGGTGGTTTGCCATCGTCTGCCTCTGTACAGCTACCCTTGACATCCTTGGTAGCCTCCTGTGCAGGTACCAAGCATGACCAACCCTCATGAGTTTGCTCTGTATATCCTGGCCACCAGCGAGGGATAAGGTTCCCAGATCCAGGTTGGGAAACTCCTGGAGATTTGGGGGTGGAGCCTAGGGAGGAAAGGGACCTCAGTGGGGTACAGTGCCACAGAGTCCCCCCCTCCGAAGCTTCTATTTTCTCTAGGGGAACCGATCTCTGTAGTCTGGAGATGAGCTGTAATTCCAGGGGATCCCCCTATCCCACCTGGAGGCTGGCATTCACTCCTATTAGTTTCAAATTCTCCATCCGGGCCAGGAGCGGATGAAGGCTCACCGGTGCCCTCAGCACTGACCAATCTTGGTGGCCCCCTCCTTTCCACACTGACCGAGTCCATTTTAGTTGTTGACCTGTCTGACCAGATATACAATGCAGGTTGCAACAGTACAAAAATTTATTCATATAACACAATATACTGTACAAACTAAGCCAAGCTTGGGCTACATAAAGTTCTACCAAAATGCAATACAACATCTATTTTAATATTTCACAAGTTAAATGTATCCAAGTTCCAATATTCATGACCTGAAAGGCATTTTTCTACATTTCATTTTTGCAAAATCACTGATAACATCCTCGAAATTAATACCTCTCAGAATGTCTGCTTCAATTGTTAATATACACGGTAAGTTGAGTCTTTCTTGAAGCATAACTGATCTATTTGGGGTTTTTTTTTACACGTTTTAGTTGTGAGAAAGACCTACAAATCTTCATTCTTTTTTTCTCTCTTTCTTTTCACCCTTTCCCCAACTTCGTGGCGCCCCCTTTGGCCCTGGTGCCCTAAGCACGTGCTTCGCCTGCTTCATGGTTGATCCGCCCCTGGTCGGGGCTATCGGAGGCTCTTTAGGCTGCTACTTTGATCCTAGTGAAAGGTCTAAGGCGGCTTCGGAGCAAGGCCTTTTGTTCGTGGCTCGTGCAACCGCAGCAGCCCCGCTCTGAGAACGGAGCCGGCCTTCCTAAACGGCGGGGCTCGCGACGGAGCACGAGGGAACCACCGCGCCCGGCACCGCCACTGCAAAGACGCCACGACAGAGTCCCGGCCGCAGGGAGGCGGGCAGGCGGGAGGAGGCCACGTGACGCCCCCGAGCGAGCCAATCCCGCCCCGTATTCCAGCCGGCGGCAAGATGGCGGCCGCGGCGCCGGAAGTGCCTGTCAGGAAGCGGAAGCGCGGGTCCCGGAGGTAAACTACGGGGAGGGGGGGGAGGAAGGAGGGGACCGCGGCCGGCGGCGGCGATGAGACTGCTGCGGAGGCGAGCGCCCGTCTGGGGTCTGCTTTTCGTCCTGTGCCAGCTGGGCCCGGCGGCGCAGGCGGTGGAGCCCATCAGCTTGGGCCTGGCCCTGGCCGGCGCCGCGGCCTCGGCCCTCACCGGCTTCATCTCCTACCCGCGGCTGTACTGTTACTTCACCGAGTGCTGCCTGCAGAGGCCCGGGGCGCGGGCAGGGTCAGGTGAGAGGGGCGGGAAGGCTGCTCCGACCTGTGGGGGGGTCCAGAGGGATGGATGCGGTGACGTCAGGGAGAGAGAGACGGGCGCCGCCATTGGCCAGTGGGAGGGAGGGATGCTGTGACGTCAGGGAGGGGGCCTGTCAGTAGGGTTGCCAAGCTCCAGGTGGTGGTTGGAGATCTCCCGGGATTGCAACTGATGACAGAGGTCCGTTCAGCTGGAGGAAATGGCCTCTGTAGAAGGTGGCATTATAGCCCGCTGAAGCACCC